AAAATAATAATTATATTATTAATTACTTACTATCGAAGTTCGTAACGCTATAACTTTAATTATAATAGTTTTATTTATAATAAATAAAAAGTTTAATTATAAATCCCTTAAAAACCTCTTTTTAAGGGCTATAAGAGCCTCTAAGTTAAGTTAAAATACTTATTAAAATATTAATAATTAAACTAATTTTATAATAACGGCTTTAATAAAAAAACTAAAAGATAAATTAAGAAATAATATTAAAATCCTCGCTAATATTAAGTACGATTTACAAAAAATAATAACGTAATTATAGAGTATTAATAATATATTTTATATTAAAAAAACTATTATTAGTATTAATAAAATAAATAGGGCCGTATTAATATAGTACTTTAACTTCCTTTTATAACTCGAGGATTATAGCTTTAAATAATATTAAAAATTTATTAAAAAGCTCTTTTAAATACTTTAATATATTTATTATTATTTTTATAATAATAAGACTCTTAGTACTTATATATAAGTATAAGTTATTTATTTTTAAATAGTAATATTAACTTATTAATAAACTATTAAAACTACGATTTTAATAATTTTTTAATAAGAGAGAGGGTAGAATAGAGGAAAGGATAAGTAAGAAAAGGGTTAAAGTTAAATAGTACGGAATTCGAGGGCAGGGTAGCGTCTATATATACTGCGGCAATCCTCTAGTAATGCAAAACGATGGAGTTAAACAGTGGTGTCCTGGCCTCCTGGTGTGTGCGTGTGTGTGGCCAGTTCTTCTTGTGTCGCAAGGCGACTGGGAATCCATTGGGCAGCTTTGTCATTTCAGGGCCCTTCAAAATGCAGGGACGTTAGGCACGGGAAACGCTAGAGTGGTTTAGTCCGAAGTAATAAAGTCCATGGATTACCAAGGAAAGCAGGGAAGAGGGCTGTTGTGATGTTGCAGATGCTGTGGAAACCAGAAAAGGGTGCGGTTGGCGGGCCCCTTGAGCATCTTTCCGGATTAGACGACAGGATGCAGCGCGTGTGCGTCTATGAAGTCCTACCAGACAGACTACCACACTACCGGCCAAATAACGCCAAAGTCCTTTGGGGCCATGCTTGATAGTAGCAGGACTTACAGCATCAGGAGAAGCAGTATCCGTACCTCTCAGGAAACCCTCCCTTGATGCCTCGGTGGCGAAACGTCATGGTTGATTGGACGAGGGATGGTCGGACGACGCAGGTAGGGCGGATTCAGGGCGATGATTGACAGGACTGCCGCTGTGTCTCGCCCTGCTTGGATGTTGTACTATGTCCCGCTTTCACCTGTGTCCACCCTTTAGCCGCCGTACGTATCATTGACACAGTTTGTCATCATTCATTCGCAGCTTCGAGACGTCCAGACTCAACAACTGATCAGTGATGCCATATTCCGCGCCAGCCTGATGTAGATGACCAAGCGGCGACGCGTAAGTGCCGTCTTTTGCGGTCTTGTGGCTGCTCAGCTTTGGGGGCCAGAACCTGTGATTTCGCGGCAGAAGTAGAAAAAAAAAGCCAGAGCAGCTACGGCCTTGCAGGAACTTGGCTGTCGTCGCTCATCTTCAAGGACTCGTGAGACTGCCAGCCTTGGTTGGCCCCCGTAAGCGCTTCGCCGCCATGCAGGACACTCTGTGAGTGTGTGCCAGATTGGGAGGCCACCCTTCAGCCGTGTCGCCAAATCTGGAATGGCACAGAGGAATTAAAGATTTTTCTGTGCTCTTGTTGCTCGAGTCTCAAGAAAAGAAGGTATCAGTACCAGCATAGCCCCTGGCTCACGGAGGACTGTCGCTGCCCAACTCATGGCCCGATGATCCTCGGGTTGCCATTGTAATTTGCTTCCTTTTTCTTCTTGTCACTCTGGTTTACACTCAGTCGGGACCATCCGCCGGAGACAAGAAATGTCTGTGTTTCTGGAAGCCGGTCGAGTTGGGCCTCCAAGGGGCCAGAGAGTTCGGATCGAGCCTGATGTCTTTGGAGGCGGACAAGGGGCATCCCCTGCTAAGTAGACTGCGACCCAACAGGCCTCCATCGCATCCATTCGATCGGGTCAATCGTGGCCTCCAGAAGACGCCAGTTATGCAAGTAGTAGCGATCTGGCTACAGTAGCTAAATTGCCTGCAGAACAAGTGCCAGAAGAAGATCGCGGGAGTCTGCAGCGATGCAGCGGCGGTGATCATTCTGCCGAGTGGAGGTGTTCATGCCTCCAATGTGCAGGGCAATAGGGCGAGCTGCATGATTTGATCGCCCACTGGAGGCCGGGCGACAAGTGAGTCCGATGTTTCTATGCTGTGTCGTGCCACACTGGCAGAGAGGGTGCGACGGAGCAGCAACATAGCTGCTGCTGCTACCCAGCGTCGACAGCCTTCAAATGTGCAAAAAGAGACATCATGCAAAGCTACTGCCAACCGCCTGCCTGCGCAGTTCCCGCTTAGCGCATCTTTCGTCGTCTCTCATATCGTATCGATGCATCCGTCGGATAGGCAAGGTACCCCTTTGCGCGGAATGACCGTGATTCTGATCCGGTGTGTACCGGTATTCCCCCTTTGCAGTAGCGGATGCTGAATCGCCAGTTGAAAGCTGCCAGTCTGACAGGTACGCAGCACGAAGCGGATGACATCTTGATGTGGGCGGAGCATGGCTGCCGTAGTCGTCAATTGCTTGGTGACTAAAGTCTGACGGACTGACGTGGTGGAAGAGAAACGGAAAAAGCACCTCACCTGGGCCAGGCACCCGCCAGCAGAGATGGAATGTTCCGAGCTTCAGCCACAGTTAGGCCAGCTCATACGCCACACTAGAGACGCTACGTACCAGCTACACCTCTCAACATTTCAACATCAGCACTCGATGATGCTGGGTAGTCAAGCAAATGGGGATAGACCTGGCATAGGTACTTATTCTGGGGCCTTTCGAATCGAAAGTCACGTTCCTCACAGCTTTCAGAAACCTCTTCATTTAAGCCTGACATCGTCATTATGATTAAACGTGTATCAGCCTAACTGCCATTCGACGAGCTAAAAAAGCCGATGTGGGAGTCCTATCATCCGATATTGAGCTCGTAGAGCAATCTTCTGGTATCCTCTCAGTGGTGCCTTCAAGAGATGCGCTAGAAGCGGCGCGGCGAGTGGTGGACGCCTTACATGAACTCGCCACCCGTGGTTCGCGGCCGAGTAGCCCCTTCTACTTCACAGACCCCAACGCTGTTGCAGCGTCAACAGTTCGAAGGATAGCCGAACTCTTCACCTCGGTCCATCATAGTGCTCGCTTCATCGACGGCTTGATCTTAGGAGAGCCCCCCGTTTTCGTCTCGGCAAGCGACGTAGAGCCGCAGACCGTCTCACCTACGACGGCTACGAGTGGTGTTGAACAACGCTGGTCCATGGGTACAGGCCCGAGTCCCCATTTCCGGTCCTCATCAGATCACGGATTTGCCCTATCACGGGGAGAGGTTGTATGCAGAGCTGAACATGCGTTATTTGGGCAGCGAAGTGGGAGCCGCCAGCGGACTGAAGATGTGTTACACAACCATGTTCAAGGGGTACATCGCAGTCGCCGCACGAGGGTTGACCACCGCGGAACGACTCGGCCTGCTCTACGTTCTCAAAGACGAGCTGCAGCTACGTCTCCCAGATCACTTACGTCTAGCCGAGAGCGGAGTCACCGTCACGTCACCGAAACCATACCGCTGGGTATTCGAGATGCAGCAAATAGCCCGAACTCATGCCGAAGAGGGTGGGTTTGCCATGGGTCTATTTCAAGGAGCTGCAGGAGTGTTTCGTGACATCGCGGAAGATAGCGTCCTCGGGAAAGAAAAGATTGGAAATAGAGTTCGAGGTACAATGATGGAAGACTTTGCTGCCATACTCGCAAGGGACTTGGAACACAAGACGACTTATTGCCAAGTCTCCCCGGGTAATGACGAGGACGATTCCTAGGTAGACTCATAGTTTAAAGCATGAAGTCAACAAAATGGAAGTCTGCAGCCATCAGGCGATTCGACCGCTTGCTGCTGCTTTACCTTTCTACCTCGATACTCACATATCTAACCTCGTCGGCAGGTCCACGATGGTCATCGGCAAGTCAAGCTACCTTACTGGGAAGAGACTTCGTGGTTGTCTACGCGGGGGAACTTTGAATAGTCATTCTTGGGTCGCTGATGTAAACGATGGCGGCTATACTTTGTCCCCCCGAGTTGTCTCCATACATCAACATCTCGTATTCGAGGGTTGGGTCCTTGAAGCGGATTCTGCCTTGGCCATGGAGACAAGTACGTCCAGCGCTACCGCCCAACTACTGCTAACCACGAGGGCGAGACCCATGGGAAAAAGAAAGGACGACACCGAAATAGAAGAACCGAGGCCCGGACAAACGAGGCGGCGCGCATGGCCATGGATCCCCGGAAGACTCAGGTGACGCGGATTTCGTGTCTTGAAGTAGATTTTGCAAGGCTGTCGACGCCCTCTCACGTGCTGCGTGAGATATCCACCATAGCCACCATCATCACCAGGCAATGAAAGGATGCGATGGTCTGCTTGGTTGCTGGGTGAAGAGCAGCGCCTTCCGGTGGCTTGACGTCACACAAGGATGTCAGCTGGCGCTCTGAGAGAGTTGAGGGAGTGGAGGAGAGCTTCGTTAGGGGGGATCTCTGCGATAAGCAAGCTTGAGCTATCGATAAGACAGAGTTGGAGGATAAGTTAAGGTACGTATAGTCCGCCCCGGAATATCTTGGAAGGGGTCTACACACGGGCAGCAAGGACCTGGAGCTCCGGCCGTCAAAAATTGGCCAATCGGAGGATAGTGAAGTTAAGGCGGCGTGTCTTTAACCCACCTTTGGCCAGTGTGTGGCAGTTCAGTGGCCCCTCCCTGCAGCTGTCTTCCTTGTTGCCCGCCAGCTGTATTGTTTCCCCTCCAGTCCGTCCAATTGACCGCCCACCTTCACGACTTTACCATCACCCTCATCAACCAATTTCCGCCTCGCCTTTCTCAAAACAGACGCAATGCAGGGTCTCCTCCTCTCTCTTGGCCTTCTGGCCTCCAGTGCCGTCAGCTTCGTTGCTGCCGCTGACCTGAAGATCGACGTCACCCAGGAGGTCGAGTGCGACCGCAAGACCAAGAATGGCGACAAGCTCACCATGCACTACCGCGGTACTCTGCAGGCCGATGGCAAGCAATTCGATGCTAGTAGGTTACCATGATTCTACTGAAAGGTCTCTGAAGCAAAGCTGACGTCTCATTTCTCAAGGCTACGACCGCGGAACCCCCTTCAGCTTTAAGATTGGCAGCGGCCAGGTCATCAAGGGGTCAGTTCCCCAATGAATGATTGACTCGACGAGAAGCACTGGAATTGGTCGCGGAAGCTAACAATGGTACAGATGGGAGCAAGGACTTCTTGACATGTGCATTGGCGAGAAGAGGTAAGCATAGGGACCCTCAATGACCAGAGACCAATCGTTACTGACGCCTCGCAGAACCCTGACCATTCCCCCTGAGCTTGGATACGGACCCCGCGGCATGGGCCCCATTCCCGGCGGCTCGACCCTTGGTATGAACTATTCCGTCTGTTATTTGAAAGCTCTGCTAACTAGTGTCGTAATCAGTCTTCGAGACTGAGCTCGTCGGCATTGACGGTGTTCCCAAGCCCGAGAAGATCATTGTCAAGGCTTCCTCGGCTGCCAGCGAGGCTGTCGAGTCTGCCACTGAGGGCATTGCCGAGAAGGTCGCCAGCAAGGTTGCTGAGGCGGCTGATGTTGTCAAGACCATTGTCGCCGACTCTGACGCCGACGGCCAGGAGCACAACGAGCTCTAAATTAGCTCTCCCCGAAACGATTCTATACGAATAGACTTGCATCCGGTAGAGAAAAGGCAATCAAGATCCAATCGGTGTCTATACGTGAAGCATTATTTGCTATGCGAAAGCATTCACTGGCGAATTTGGATTCGACGACATATATACGACGCGTCACGACACTATTATGATTTAGGCGAGCGACTAAATGCTAATGAGCATCAACTTCTACTTTCCCGGTTCATATCTGAAATGTGCATGTGGTTGAAGTTGTTCACGTGCAGAAGTGACAATCTTTTGAAAATCGTCATTAACATTGTAGGTTTATTAACTATTGTAGACCAGCGTTCTCTTTGGTAAGTGAGACCGAGTTCTCTCGATTTTTTTGCGTAAGGCACCTCCTCAACCAGCCTGGTACACAGCAAGCGCGGCAACATGCGGGTTGATCATGGTTAAATTGTGAGCCGTGACATACGTGTCAGTATCCGTAAGAGCAACAAACATGGTCGAGTTGATGGCAGGATCATGCTCCCACGTTGAAACGTTGGGCTGGATGGTGTACGCCGTACGAGACTCGAGGCTAACGTTCTGAAGTGGCGAGAAGGTGACATTCAGTTGCGACACCCAGGCGGCGAACTTTGGCTCCACGACGTTGGTCGCGGTGATGTAGCTATTATTTGGACCAACCGCCTGGCCCGGAGCGTCCCATTGGAAAAAGACCTGGCGGCCTGGGTAGGAAAGGGGCATTGTGCGGTTCTGGGTGATGGCGGCATTACAGTCCTGGAGGGGATCCGTGGCGTTCACACAAGATTCAGCATCGGTGATGTTCGTCGTCGCCGCGGTGTTCGCCCAGCCGCCGGTAGTCTCATTCCAGACGTTGGAACCGTTGATGCGATAAGGGTTGGGCTGGTTCAGGATGTGAAGAGCGGGGAAGTTCTGCCAGATGAGGCGGGTCTGGTCTGCCGGACAGCTAGAGATGTACGGTGCCAGGAGCGTCCAGGCCCAACTCTGCGGGATACCGGGAATGTGCCACTCGGGCATGGGGAACAAGCCCTCGAACTGACGAAAGATCATTTGCTGGCGAGCCTCGGTCGTGATGCTTTGCAGCAGCAGCTGGGCTGCCGGACCGGAGTTGAGGTGCGGCAGGAACCCGTAAACGCCAGACTCACCCCAGCGAGTAAGCTTCTGGTTGAAATCGATGTACTCCCGGAGATTGGTGACGGGGTAGTTGTAAGTACACTGCTTGGGCGCCTGGGCGCCAAGCATGTTTGTGATGACAGTGGCATGACCAATCTCCTGTTCAGCCATGAACTGCAGGAGGTAGCGGTCCTCAGCATTCAGACCGAGCTCCTCGAACTCTTCATCGGAGAAGGTGGCAAGGCCCCAGTGGAAGAGGTCGAGCTCGATGTACTCCTGGTAGAGTGCCAGGGCGAGGGACTGGTAGTCGAAGTCGCTCTGGACGCGGTAGACTGGGGCCGAACCGTTGGTACCGATGCCACCCGAAGGTGTATATGGCGCAGGCTGGTCGCCGTGGAGCTTGCCGTCTGCCGGGTAGTCGTAGGCATCATCTGGAGGGGGCAGTATCGGGACCTCGGAAGCTAGGACACTGGTTGAGAGTGCACCGGTCGTTGTTGGAGAGGGACCCGTGTAGGGACCGTGGGAGGTGACGTTGGTGACTGCCACTTGTGACGGCGTAATAGTGGGCTCCGAGGTGACGGTAGTCTGTGGCTCGGAGACGAAGGGCACGGCGTACGCGCCGGAGGCCAAGGCGAGCAGCCTGAACATGCTCCTTGTTGCCATTATGTATAAGCTTCTGAGCTCTGATGTGTTGAGATGTCGAAGATGCCCGGCCAATGACTCCCTTTGCTGGAACGATCGTGGGCTCGCTCTTATACAAAACTTAGACCACTTTTCGGTGCTCGGCACTCCAATTATTGAATGACCGCAACATATCCAGCCAGGCTAATCGACATCAACCATTGAACCATTGTAGTTGCGAACCGAACTCGGAAGTCGAACTAGGTGAAGGGTTCGCCCCTTGAGATGAGTTCATGGACTTTGAAATTCCTCATCATCCTGGACCGTAGCCCCGGACTTTGGGCGGCAATTGCGAAAAATACACGTGGGCTCCGAGTCGTTGGCTGTAATCCTGCCGTCATCAGCTTTTGTATTGCGAGAAATTGATGTCCGCTTTAGTGAGCCTGCACAAAAAGTAGTCCAGCGTGTCAACGGCGCGTTTCTAGCTTACCACAGAGAAGAAACTTGCTCCGGCGTGCAACGAAACGAGCAGTTGCCATCAATCAGACTTCAGATACACTCCACGGAGTTGTCTCCGGTGAGCTCGGGGTGGGACGAACCGCATCAAGGATGGGCCTCGTGGAGAAATAACTCCGGGCCGTGAGTGGGTACAGCCGGCACCGATGACGCTTACATTAGGCGGATGAGGCTCTTTGTGCCACGAAGCCAAGAGTGATCCCGCAGTCCGTAATGTGGGAAAGGCGGGAAGTCAATCGATGAGATGAACTACTGAGGTACGGGGTAAGGTAGTATGAGCTAATCACTTTGATGGGAAGGATCTGTACTGAAAGAGGGAGACAGCAACCAATACCGCGTCAGCATGTCCGGATACAACTACCGGAACTTAAGTTCCGGACCCTTGACCTAGAAGCTTGAATCTGGAGTTTTTAAACGCCATCGAAATATGGTATCCATGAGTTGAATTTCTATGACACGGTACTTAATGGTACCGTAGACGTACGTTGAATGCTGGCGGGAGTAACAGCGCCGCGAGAATAGCATCTTCAATTAGTCTCAGTCTAGCTAACTCCGGCAACAATTTCATGCCATACCTACAAGAATGCGAAAATCTGTTCTGCCACACTCTATACAACTAGCTGCCGCAGTTCCGGTACCGGTCCAAATCTTTGGACCTCTTCTACGCTCTCCCGTGCAGTCAAAGTTGACAGCATCATCTCGGCGTCACCGTACAACCAATCTTCATCCCCACAACTTCCCCATCATACTCTTGGGTACTGCTCCTGCTCAACGGCGGGAGGCGGGGGAATGTGACAACTTTGGGAGCTTGAGAAAGGCAAAAAAGCATCCTCAATTGGGTTACTCAGTTGCCGTCCAGCACCCACTTCTTCTTGTCGTAGCTCGCAGGCCACACGCCGTTCTTGCCTGGCGCGATGATACCGTTGGGGTCGAGCGCATTTTTGATCGCCTCGTTGAGCTGCATCTGCGCGTTGTCGTTCCAGTTGAAGGCGTCTGCGACGGGATCCATGAGCGCCGTGTGCGCGCGGAACTGGCCCCAGCCGTGCGCCGTCGTTTCCTTGATGAGCTTATGCGCCAACTTCCTGATGCGCTCCACGTCGTCGGGTACGTCGAGGCGGTAGGGGATACCGATTACGTGGTCTAAGGTAAACAGGGTCAGTCACTTGCGTACTGTCTCGCAGCATCGCAACATGAAATGAGATGCCCGTTTAGACGGAATACTTACGCAGCTCTCGCATGCCCACGGCAAAGGCGCCGAGGTAATCGAAGCCGAATTCGGTGATGAGTTTCTTGGCTACATCGTGCTGCTTCTTTGCGTCCTCGCCGGACACCTTGGAGATTGGAGCCCACAAGAGTTGACCCCCGTTGGGAAGCCAGCTATGTCCAGTGTTAGTAATTGACGGACAATAAAGTAAGCTATGGGAATAAGACTTACTTCAGACACCTCAACTCCTCTACTGTAGGAATACCTTGCATCAGCAGCTCGCGAGCGCGGAGAGGACTCTCTCGTGCGCGATCCTCTGGTAGGAAGAATCTCGAGCCCGGAATGGAGAGGAACTCGTGCTTGATAACACTAAGAAGGACATCGCGAACAGGCTTAGGTCCGTATACGGCACCAATAAGCTGCCACCGACCCATATCGAGCTTCTTTGCGATTCCGTCGACTTCTTCCTCTGATAATGGCCCTTGTTTGTCCGTATACTTGGATTTGGGACCGCAGTGCGCGGCGTTCAACAGAGTGTGACGAAGGAAAGGAACGTTCTGCAACACCATTTGCAGGCGCAACGGACGGATAATGTCAACAGCCTTTGGCAGATCCGAGTCGTTCTCAAAGGTGATCTCGTACGGCTGGTAGCCTCCGGGGTTGGGCATCAGCCACATGCCAATCTTTGTCACGATACCAAGGTTGCTCTGAGAGAAGAGGCCGTCATTGTAAGGTCCGTATCCCGTGTTGAAGAGCTGCCATGTCTCGCAGCCAGGCTGCTCATCAGGTCGCAGGCTCGTATCCGCGTTGGGGTTGGGGACGCCACCCATACCGGTGCGCACAAGCTTTCCGTTCGGCAGAACAACCTCCATGCCGCAGTGCATACCCCAGTGGTCACCATACGGCGTGGCACCGACGCCGCGCTCCACAGCATTTCCGAGAACGGAACCCTGGCCTACGGGCACCGACATCCAGAGGTGCTCGCGGAGGTTGTGTTTCTCGAGGTGCTCGTGCAGATCCCGGAAGCTGACGCCCGGCTCGAGAAGTACGTATGCACCCTCCACGTTGACTTCGAGGATGCGGTTCATGTGGTGGCCCAGATCCATGACCACGGAACCGGGAACGCGGGGGGAAGCGCCGCCGTAGCCGAAGTTTCGGCCGAGGGAGATTGGCCAGACGGGCATGACGAGCTCGTTGCAGAGTGCGACGAGGGCCTGGACGTCCGGGACGTGGCGGGGCATGACGACGGCCGAGGCGACGAACTTGGTCTTCTCGTAGAGGGGGAAGTGATCGTGTGATTTCGGCTGGTTGAGGTATGAGTCGCCCTCTAGGGGCTTGTCCTTGGGGATGACGCGGACATTTTCGATGCCGCAGATTTCTTGGGCGCGGATGACGAACTTTTGGAATAGCTCGTTGGTGAAGTTTGGTGGAAGTGCGATGGGTTCCGGAATTGGCGCCATCTTGACGGGTCTGATCTGGTATGAGGCTGATTAAATGCGATATCTGGAGTAAGGGCACTTGAAATCACCAGACGTATCGCTAGAATAGAGATCAAGATATATTGATGTCTTGTTTTGCGAGGAAGCTATATCAACTCGATCCGAGAGCACAGAGGTCTTTTAATAACTTTCATGATGTGGTATGGTGCCTCTACGAGCTCTCCGATGAACCGTGCCTACAATGGGGGCCATGCTTGACGGATCACTGTCAGATGCCGACTGCTTGATACATCTGTCCCGCCACCGGCGTTGCGAGCTCTGTTGCATAGCTTGCGAAGTTGAGAAAGGCCAGGTACGGTCGTCCGTCGCGCGTGCCGGGCCCAATTCGGGCCAGCACCCCGGGATGCCTTCGCGAGAGCGGGCGACAACTCGAGCCTGGAGTCCGAACCCGTTCGAGTGGAAGGCATACCAGCAGGCAGGGCGAAACCCCATAGCAAGTGGCGGGAGCCAACGGAGAATGGAAAAGTGTGTTTCGTTCAATGGACCATCAGTTCATTACGGACAGCTGCCTGATACGACAGATTGATCGCAGAGGAATCACTGTTTCGAGAGGGAAAGCTGTTCACAATGTGGCTTGTGAAGCGTTCGGCGTAGATCACTGCCGTCCGTAGAAGAGTGGCGCTCAGTGGTCTGAGCCGTAGTGGACGACTATCGAGAGGACCGTGAGTTCGGAACTCTGTCAAACTTGACGTGGCGGACGTAGTGAAGACGTTTTGGGTCAGCCAGTTACCGAAAGAGAGCTATGATGCGACAGGCCGCCCAGCTTTGCTTCCTCCATGGAAGATGTTCGTGATGATTCGCGGGTTCGTAAAGCGACGGTGCGGAACGGGCGGACATGTTGTTGGAGAGGAATCTTGTCATGAAACGCTATCTGACGGGAAGACACAACCTTCACACAGACACCCGTTCCCGTCATTAGTTGCAGATGCGGCTGCAGTCTTGACAGTGTCTTACCGCTGCCTCGGGAGACGCACCATGAAACGAAACAGAGAGCCATTTGCTCTCTTTACCCCACGGACATTGGCTACCGGCCAGGCTCCTGTCAGCTTTTCCTTCGGCCGGCTTGTCCGAGGCGGCCGCATTCTCGTAGACATTTATCCATGAAATTCCGTCATCTAATCTTTTACATCTTGTTCCCAAACTGCCAGACGCCCCAATGGCGTGCTTGGCACAAGCAGAGGTGCCAGCCCTAAGGGTGCGGATAGGCCGGGGTACACGTCTCCCCGGAGGAGCAGTTGGAGAAATCTCGCATCGGCCATCCGCAGTTGGCGATGCGGTCACGGAACGGAGGTGCCGGGTGTTTCTAGAAGACTTCCCGCTCTGGGATTCTGCTGGTTCATGAGAAGCTTGGGGGACACCCAACCCCGAATGACACGCCATGACTGATAGCTGTCGTTGCGATTGCGAGGTGCGAACGAGGCTCTTTTGATGGATGCGAACCTACGGAAGCTTTGGTCGGGGGTTCCTGAAGTGATTTTTAAGTTGGGTGGATGGGTGCAAAGATACGGCCGACGGCCTTTTTCGACGCCCATCGCCTGGTTCCGAATCTCACTTTACCACAACATCGGGCGAACTTGAACACCGTACTCGTTGATACGGAAACGTCATCCATCCCACATCACCCTTGATCCAAAGCTTGGCCTTTGACCTTGGTAGCAGATGACCTCTGGGTGTCCCAGCTCTTCCGTTGGCGAACGGCTATTTAAGATTAGGGTTGCCTGCTCAAGACATCAAAGGGAAAGGCCGGCCGAAATCAATATTACATTAGTGTGAGGTCCGGACCTCCAAGCGGGTTTAGTAGCAACCATAATCCAACCTTCAAGTCATTTGCACCTGTGCCAATCTAGCAATATCGAGATCCCTTGGTTCAAGAGAAAGGTCCGAGCAAAGAACACCTTCACCGAAGCGGAACCTAAGCTTTCAGCAGTGATGGATCCAGCCCAGCTCGCTAATGCCGTCACCGAGCGGGTAACCATTCCTGTCTTGGGCGGCGTTGAAAACTGGAAGGAGCAGCTTAAGTTTATGCTCCAGACTCTGAGCAAGCAGCCAGGATATCTTCGTACGCGCTGGGGGCCATGGACTGAGGATCAACAGAAGCTTGAGCTCATCACCGGTACGTGACAATATGCCGGGCCAATTCATCTAGCTCAGCTTAAATGGCTAACAACCGGAGTCTCAAAATAGGTTGGGTCAGTCCGGATGCGCGCGAGAAGTGGCAGAGATCGAAAGACTTCGCCGAAGCAATGGCCCGGTTCGCGCCCGTACTAGACGGCGAGCCCGCGGCATACCTACTCCGATTCAAGCCTTACGCACCCCACGCCGTTATCAACTCCCCCATCGTCGAAACCCTGAGCTTCGAAGACTGCCGAGAGTCCGAGAACAGGATGCGCGAGGTGGTCGAACGAGCATCCAGGATGCCGGGCTGCAACGGCGTGGCAAGCGGGTATTCGCTGTGCCCACCAAGCTCATCCTCCGGCGACAGCACCGGCAGGACGTTCGTCGCGGCGATCGGGTGGACGGGGCTCGAGGCCAGCCGCGCGGCGGACAAGTCGGCGTACACGGGCGGTATGAAAACCGAAGTCCACCACGTCAACTTCAATTTTCCTGTCAAAGGATTTGGAGGATTATAGCGGCTTCTGTGCGTGTCCGGGTTGCATGATGTGGTTTAGCGGGTTTTAGACGAGCGAAGGCGTTCTATCAACAGTCGAATTTCCTATTTGCTTCACGCTTGGAACAAGTTTCTTGTTAGTGGCTTCGGGAAAGGGGAAAAGGTGGCGGAAGCGGGGGGGCACGCACAGTTTTTGGGACGGTGTCTGTACGCATCGAAAGTTCTCTTCGTTTTCTAGGGTAAAGATACCAATAGTCATGTCAACATCATGTCCCTTTGGCCCGATTTCTCGTGATTCTCTGCGAGGTCGACCCGAGCCATCGTATCTAGTGGCGACGCTAGAAAGCTGTCATTCGGAGCTGGATGCTGGAGCAAGAGCTGAGTGAAGCTATTGGTCGCGCGACCCAGGAACCCCTGCAGGGCAATATGCCTCGGTTCGTGCCTCGCTTCCGCGAAACATGTCGAAGGAAGATGACGACTGGCCAGAGCTTCCAAGGGTCCCAGAGATCCAGACTTTGCTCGAGGCTCGAGCCCTCCCCTAGGCCGTCCCAGCCGGAGGGGGCCACTAGGGCCTGCAGCATGCTCTCATTGCAGTCGCGAGACTCTGCTGGGTTCGTCCAGGGGCACCAGCTGGGCCCAGGGGTGGTGGCCTTCTTTCTTCATGCTTAACCTTACCAAATGCCGACCGTGTTTCCGAACACTGAATGCTGCAAAACGTGGATCACTGGGTTTGAGCAGCAGAGGGGCGTGGTTCACCAGCGTCACCGGGCGTTGATCAAAGGCCAAGACGCGGATGAGAGGAACCAAAGGTGGAATAGTGTCAAGGTCTTCGGTGAAAAGACGCCACAGCCGGTGTTTTGGTGGCTGTCGGGGCCCGAGGGGGAGTCTCTTCAGCTTCAGATCATCTTGTTGTCCCCGTTTCTCTTCAGCCACACCGTGCCGCTACGGCTTGAATCCGAAGGAAAGCCGTTGCTATCGTACTTGGCGGGCCGAGTGACAGCGAGAAACTGCGCATACCTAGACAGCTCGAAGAATGATTAGATGAAGGACGTTGAGAGAGTGTCAAGATGAAAGAGTTTTGGTAATTTGATACGCGGATTCTGTGTCATTAGCGCAGAACCTCCCCGCATTTCCTGAGGCATGTCGATGTTAACCTGTTTGTCACTGGTACGCTGACCGCAGAAAGTTGTGGGCTCTCGGGAATGGCACCCAGGAGATCGCTTCGTCGGCCAGCAAACCCCTGACGTGTCTTGGCGGCTCAAATCTCGCCTGGAACGGTAATGTCGAGGGGTTTCCTACCAATGGACAGCGTCAAGATGGCCCCCAATGGGACGGTGTCATCTGGCCTGGCTATCTCGGCCTTCGTGTCTCTTTTGATACTAGACCCAAGGCCCTTCCTCCACGTGGAAGATATCTCCGGCGAGAACAATGCGGCCCTTCTTTGCAGAAATCCAGAGTGCCAGAGCTGTGGGTGCAGCAAGATCATGTTTCAGAAAGGCCCAAGGTGGCCTGGGGTGATATTTGGTCCCATGCATGCAGCATGAACTGCGGTTCGGAGCACACTCTGGATACGGCTCCCACGTCGTTTGGCAACTGTCTCTCTTCTTTGTGAGCCCAGTCGGCATTTGACTGAAGGTTTATGATGAGGGAAGAGGAGGTGTTTGTTATGGCGCAGTCTCCTTTGTTAAGGGCTTGGTAATTGCTGAATTGCTGAAAGTTCCCCCTTGATCGGCACCACGCCGGAAACTCTTGTTTGGTGTAACGGTCTTCTGCCGAGTCTGCCATTTGCCGGACAGTCTTGAGCACTCTCGATACAATTCCTTCGACGAAAAGATCAAGAGAGGCGCAACGGGCTGTCTCGTTCCATCTCGGTGAGGGATTCCGATGAGGTGTTGAGACGACGGAGATGCCCGCTGTCTGTCTGTCTGGCTGTCTACTGAAGAAACGCACGGCCTCCAAGCTGCATGCAGCATCTGTAAAAGACCAGGAAGCCATGCCGATCTGCTGATCCCTGGACCATTTCTTCCTCGCCCGGGTCCCCAATGAACATCGCACTCCCCGCCTGTGGTTCGCCAGCTCGTTCCCAGTCCACGAAGCTATTGACGACAAGGCCCCGTCACCCCTATAACAGACCCCGCTCTTTTATGGCGAAGTTCTGCTCGAAGAACCAGGCTGGAGAACGTGACAAGATGGTATCCCAGAAAAGAGCAGCAGAGGGAACCTGCTTTCCGCTCCCGCGGATGGTAAGGAGGATCCCTTCTTGCGTGACTGACCCTCTCAAGATCGACGCCTGGGTTCACTTCTTCTTCAGCAAACCTTTATCCCCGGCATTTGCACCATGAAGAAATGACGGCACATCGCGAGACATGGCTATTGGGGGCCGGTCGTGCCTGTTGATCTTTTTCTTTTCTCGGGCCAGTGGGATAGGCTTTGCTATCTGGTAGTATTGTCAAACTTCCTGCCATCCTATGCAACCCAAACCATTGACGGATGAAGACATCACCGTCCATCAACTGTCTCAACTGGGCAAGAGAGCTACGAGAAGGGGGTGCCGATTGACTCCTTTTGCAGGACCTGTCGTCTCATAGTCCCCCACCACCCCTGCTTATGGTAACAGTAACAGACTGGTAGTGACTCTTGGAGTGCGACCTCTGCACCTCTGCTACACGTTTGTGGTGCGTGTGGCGTAGGCTAGAGGGTGGCACTAACAATTGTCACCACCATGTGGGTTCTTCGCCCGGTCTAGTCACCGCGCCGGCTGGAGGGCTCGATTACCTGTCGCGGCCTAGCCACCCTCTGCCGTTTGGGATCGCGAAACCAGAGCTTGCCAGGCTATTAGTCTATTATTATTGCCACAGCACTGGAGAAGGGGAAATTTCTTAACTTACGGGCCGGAAAAGAAGTGGGTAGCCGAGCTTGACGAGGGCCAATCTGCTCCGGACTGTGGACGCACATCGTCGATTCTTAAAAGTATGCCCGTTTCCCCCTTCTCGACGGGCTCGTAGGGCTTTCTTTGAGTTTGAACTAGACGACATCTTGCTCCCCTCTCATCCTCGTCTCCTTCCCCACATACCCAATCTGGTATATCAAGGAGCCTTTCTTGAGAGGACCGAACCTCGAACACATCGGATACGATACTTATTTAATACGAGCGAATCGATCTTCCCGCCTTCGCCCTCTCCAGCATACTTCACGATGGCGGCATCAAAGACCGACTACCAGATTGCCTCGCTGGCCGCGGGCTTTACTATCGGTTTTGGTTTCTTGACAGTATGGGAGGCCATGAAGCAGACGAGACGGAATCGTAACCCCCTTCGAAGCACATACATCTACATGATGTGGGGTGAGATTGTTGCCAATCTCGTCATTGCCGTCATCGGATGGTTATTCTTAGATGGGATATTAGGACCAACGTGAGTATCGAAGTGCGGTACTTCTGCTCTGACCGAGCTAACACTATCGGTGTCAAAGAGTGCCGGTGTTATTCTTCATCCTATTCTTATGGGTGTGGGAGATCCAGTTGCTGATGCAAATCATCATCAATCGTATTGCCGTCATTGCGGAGAGTCAAAAGACCATTCGCATGCTGAAATGGGGAACGGCTGTGGTTATCACCCTGATCAATATTGCCGTCTTCTGCATCTGGATTCCCTCCCACCTTGACCCTCCTGTTAGCCAGACGTAAGTTCGACCATCTCCTGTACTGAGCTCTTGCCGTATAGTTCACTCGCTGATATGAGATCGCAGATACGTCAATATCAACCACTATTGGGACCGTCTCTCCAAAATCCTCATTCTCATCGTTGACGCTGGCCTCAACTGGTATTTTCTCCACGTCGTCAAGGCTCGCCTCTTGAATCAGCATGGATTGGTCAAGTACAAGCCTCTGGTTGGCTTCAACGCAAAGCTGATGGTTCTCTCAATTGCCATGGACGTAAGTCAAGACACCACTACGATCATGTAAAATGTTCAGGAGGCTGACAATACACATCCAGGCTATGCTCATTGGCCTCATGTCACTGCCAAACCAAGTCGTCTACATCCAGTTCCACCCCGTGGCCTACATGGTCAAGCTCAACATCGAGATGTCAATGGCCTCATTGATCACACGCCTCGCAAAGGATCAAGATAGCGGTTTTAGATTCAACTCCCTCTCATACTCCCAGGGACATTCCCGAGGTCATCGCACGAACCCAACTGGTCTTGACAACGGTCACAACGGCCACCACGAAACCGGAGGTCTTAAGAGTTTCCATCGCGCCAGCGTCGGAGCCGTTCCTGAGGATAGAAATCTCGAAGCCATCCGGGAAGCTAGAACTGGTATCCACCGAAGAGTCGATGTTGAAGTCCGCGTTGAGTCACACTCGCCGAAGTCGAACCCTGCCTCATCTTTCAGCGGGCGCAACGATGATGCGGCGAGCGGAAGCTCTTTCTACAGGGTTGATGATGAGGACTCGCTGACGAGCAATCCCGGACATCCTCGGTCATCGGAGAAGAAGGAGATGAGGGGTTAGGTGATGCGGCTATGTAATTGATGGTAATGGTTGGGATGGATGCATGCGGACTTTGTTCTGGCATGCTATGATCAAGGCTCTTTTTCGTTACGAATACCCCTGTGCTATACTCACAACGCCTCTTTTCTTTTGTATACTAGTCCTTGATGATATGGGCGAGACTGATTAATATCAAGCCTCCTGAGTGTACTAGGAGGATCTCATTGTAACAATCCAAGATTGTCTTGCTCTCATAATCTTGCCTATGAATGATCATTTCAAGTTGCTTGCTCAAGACTCTAGCTGGCCTCGAAAACCTCGAAACCAACCAAGTCGGGGGCCCAAGCACTTCCAAACGACTTGAACTCCACCGTGTTCGAGCTATCACCCTTGAAGCCATCAACCTCAACGAGCAAGCGGCCAGTGTCAAACCAGTTGCCGCCGGAGATGGGGAAGGCCCACCGTTTCTCGGTACCACCATTGACGGAGATGGTCAAATTGCGGGTATTGGACCCAAACTGCCACGCGGAGTCAAGGGCGATCTCATAGTTGATAAAGTCAACGCCCAGCAGTTTCTTGCCCTCTGACTTGGCCTCGACGCCCTCAAACTTGACCGCGGCCCCTGAACCGATATTCCCCACCTTTGTGCTGCTCGGAAGACACTGACCCTCTGCGCAAGTAACCTTGGAGGCTGAGCCAGACAGCGCGGCGTCAGTGGCCGTGTAATATCCGGCTGACGCGTCGACGGCGGGTGCCGTCGTGGAGAGGTCCGAGAGCACGAGCAACTTGAGTTCGTGGCCGTTCAACGTCGTCTCGTACGTGCCCGAGATGGAGCCGATGTCACTCGCCGCCCATACGTCACGGGCGTTGGCCGAGGCGACACCCAAGACGGCCGCGAGGTCGACGCTCACGGCCTGGGAATCGTTCTTCCAGTTTGCCAGGCCGACCACGAGGCGGGAGCCCGATAATTCGCCGGCCCAAACGTCCCACTCCTCCTCGGTGTAGCGACGGACGAGTTCTGTCTGCTTGGCGAGGGGGTCTTGGTTGAGAGCGATGACTTCCTTGTTGACGAGGATCTCGTGGGCTGACTCCGGGACAAGACCGGGGATAGCGGGGGCACCGAGGGTAAGGGGAGACTTGTTGATGGCCCACATTCCCATGTGGAACTTCTCCTCCTCAATCGACAGGGCGCTGAGACCAATGCTAGGATGATGTTGTCAGCGCCGGAATTAAAACGACGCAATCCTGCGGAAAGAAGTTGACTACTCACAGCAACATGTCCATGTCGGGGAAAGCACCTGGGCCGGTGTACTTGTAAAAAGGAACAACTTGGTTCGTGATCCGCCAAATGCTGCGCCAGCCGTTGTAGATGTCGTTGCTGATTCTCCAGCTGTTACCAATTTTGGGCGCCCTAGTGATCAAGTTAATTCCTTGTGAAAGCTTGAGAGAATTTCGCTACCGTGGACGACGCACCAGATACCCAGGTCCGTTCCAGTTCCCCATTGGCAGACTTGGTAGAGGATGTCTCGATCCGTTGTGTTCAACGCATCTGCCATCGCTACGAAGCGATCCGGTGAAACGGCTTCTTCCGAAACGTAGTCGACCATAACCGTGGGCTCGACCGCGTAGCAGTTATCGTATCTGATGTGCACCTCGTATTAGCACCTGACCCTTCTAAGGGCTCTACTCCTTGGTGACCGTACTTCAGGGAATCTGCGCCCCAGTCGGCGAATGACTTGGCATCGGTGAGCTCATGATCTGAAAATCTTGTTAGGACTATCTGGTACACTGAACATTGGAGTTCCGGGTAATTACTACTCACCGAGAGAAGCGGGTTGATCTGTGGAACCGCATTGGTAGTATCCGCCGCCGGAGTATACGCCGAACTTCAATCCGAGATTGTGGATGTAATCACCGAGCTCCTTGCCGCCTCCGGACGGGAACAACTCCGGGTTCCACACGAGCTCGCCGTCAGCGGAGCGCTCCTTGGCCGGCCAGCCGCAGTCGGTAGTCACGGTGGTGTATCCGGCGTCGGCTAGACCCGTGTTGATCAAGGCGTGTGCGTTCTCTTTGATCAGCGTCTCATTGGGGTAGCAGTTGTAGTAGTTGTAACTGTTCCATCCCATCTGAGGTGTCGGCGTCTTATGGGTCTTGGCCGAGGCGCGGGCGGCGAGCGCCGTCAGGAGCGTGAACGCAAAGGAGATCATGGTTGATGATCCGATAAGGTCGGGTTGAGATTCTCAGAGGTCTGCAACTACCACAACTCTCCCTACAACAACACCGCAGTCTGTCGTGGGATACTCATGTTTATAAGTCAATTGCAGGCCATTTTCCGAGCGCGAGAATGCAACCGTCTCTCCGCACGGCCCCGTCTTCCCCGGACTTGACTCAATGCCACCCTCGGCCCAGGTGAGGTCATCACGATTCTACGCGCACCATTGAAATATCGTTCCGGTAGTTCCAAGATCTCCACCAGTTCCCCAGGGGTAAGGAAAAGCCACATGATGGACGAGTTGGGGAAACAACGCGGGGAAAACGGCTGGGCTGAGTAAACTTATCGGGGTAAACGTCCCATTGACGGACACGACCACTCGGACTCGGGCGCTTATAAACAGAATGCGACATCGTGCAGCGGTTGTGCAGATGTGCCTGGCTCCACCCGGGCCGCATCAGTCTATCAGATGGTCCATGGGCTTAAACTGGTTTAAAGGCCGGTCAATGCCAATGTTTCCCCCGCAGTTGAGGAGGAGTCGTATCAGGGTCGCGGCTAGGGTGGGATGGGAACATTGAATGAAATAGGAAATCTAGGCGGGCGTTTGACAAGGTTCGCGATGGTGGGGTTGAGATGAGATTCGTTTGCTTGGGTTTGCACGACTCATGCGCCCTGTCTTGACTGGACACATGTACTTCAGTCTGGATGTCACCTCACTGACACGCGCTCAACTTAGAATGCGATGGATCAAGATGTGCTCTACCGAGCCCAAAGTCGGTAGAGTTCCACGGCTAAAAGACTTAAACTCAACGTCTACACTACCCACACCAGGCCATTGTCAAGACCCGCCGTTTCCAAGTCTCGAGCCAAGACAACCTGGGCGTCTGTATCCGGGCGAATCCTACTCTCCCGTATGTGTTTCACCGACCTCGCCTGTCGCTTCGCGGATTACTAGACCAAGTATCTCAGAATTTGACAATCTGGGTTTTTCCTCGCTAGAATCATCGGTACTAATGAACCAGCAGCAGCGCTTGTTTGTCGCCGCGGTAAACATCTCCGAAGTTCAGTGACCGGCCAGATAGTCCTCCCCAAGAACTGGATGCAGATGTTGTGTATACCCGAGAAGGCCGGTAGATCACTTGAACTGTACGTAAGCTTGCTTTGAGTATATGCGTTCACTACTTCGTAGTAGTTACATAGAATGACATTTGTTTCCAGGGGCCCGGGAGAGGGAGAGGCAAGCTCACAGGGTAAAGGACATGTTGTGATCATATGGATATTCCTTGGAGACAGCATATACTCGTGAAATGCCACTCGTGTTTGCAACGTACTATTTCTACCAAGGCTTCGAAAGTCCTCTTCATTTTGATCTTTCCGCCAGACAGTAGCCACGGGACTATGTTGACTGGTCGAGATTTGGATTGTGGCATTGACGCTTACTTCCTGCTGTCTACGCATGGTCTGACTTGAGTAAACCTTTTCTACTTTCTGTTGAAACCATAGCAAAAATTGTATTGAACCGTGGAGTTGCGGTAAACCAACCTCATTCTTTAGAACTCATTCTTCCGATCCGACTCGGGGTTTTATTAGGTACAAAGACAGTCTATCCGAAAGAAACGAAATCCCATACTGCGAGATATCATGATGGCATCTTGGAAATTCTGAGAAAGCTCTTTGACGGCGATGGAGTCTTGAAAAGGCCCTAAGGTTTCGGCCGTCAGGGCAGGGGAGATTGCACCACCAGAGCAGTGACTTAGAGGAACGTATTGATCTTTCGCGCCTTTCATCGGGGGTGGCCTTTAGCGTTGTGTATGCTCCCTAATAACTGGGCTGGTAGCAGCATTACCACAAGTGCAATCAAGTCGACTTTGGCGCCCATAGCTATCAACTTGGTTGTAATATTTCTGAGGTTTGCTTATTGCCTTACCTGCAAGTATAGTGACGGAGCGAAAATCGTACCATTGTGCTGTATACAAAAGAGAGACTCCCCTCAGGCATTCATGCAATGTTGGTACACGTTTCAACAATGGTTCTGTGATATGGCAAGTCAATCTCTATGATGACCGACGTTATCACGGTTGCTATGCTTCATCGCAGGGGTTATGTATAAAGCACTCAAGAATGAGTTGACATAAATTGCAGCTGTCGTTTGTGACCTGTGGTAACACGTCGTGCGATTCATGGTGTCGGTAGAATGCCTTTTCAGGAGACCCGTGATCTTGGAAGTCAACCTAGGCAGGCTCAGCCAAGGCCTCGGTTGTGAAACTTGCGCAAGGAGCGCACTGGTGATCCATTATGAGATGTGAGGGTTTCAGAAGTGTGCGGGCAATACGTCGTTGGCGCAATGATCCTACCTCGCACTACGTGGTGATTGAGCCAGCTCACGAATCAGATGTGCTCTTACGAAACCTGCGACTGACTGGCCCGTATCATAACGGAATATCCTGATACTTTTTCTGGGCACCGTTTCGCATTGTCCGTCATAAGGTCCTCCGTGCAAAGTTTCAGTGAGTCGTCCATATCCCCAGTAATAGGGGATGCCATTTCGGGTTGAGAAGTAAGATCTAGGTAACTTATGTGAAATCTGCTCAATTTCAGGAATGATCTAACTATTTGCTCCCAGCCGCCTTTGCGTATTGCTCACCAAACGCACCATACCATCTGCCAATGACCTCTCCAGCCATCCCCGGCCCGATGGTCTCGACACCGTCCTCCAATTTACTACCAACTTCCTCCATAAATTCATCCACGGTGAGAGCATCCGGGTTATTCTCCTTCTTGTTGTCGTCTGGATCCGATCGCTCTCGGT